CGAATGACATTTGAGTCCTGCTAACACATCTGCAATCAAGGTCCCCCTGCTAGTGGCTGCAGCCAGAAGGCTGCACCATCTAACATCCCGGTAGAGGCTGTGTTTTGTTTCGTGAGATTTGGATCCCAGGGCTCCTGGCTTTCGGGGTCCTGCTGCTGATGTGCAGGTAGCCCTCCTTCCTGCTTGGTCACCGAAGCTGCGATTTTATGGGAAATCATGGGCAAGATCTTGACGTCGGAGCCTGCCTTATGCTTCTGGGCAGAGCTGACGGCGGGACTCGCCCCCGCCCTGGTCTCTCTGCTAGTGACGGTGGCTCTGCCTCAGGCTGTCGAGTTGCAAGGACCCAAAATGCTAACTAAATAGAGACTCTCCAGATGCAAGCACAGCCCATCCTCAGTGCCAGTGCTCCCTGCTAGGTCTCAGGCAAGGTGTATTTATTCCAGGGTTTCTCTATTTATTTCCATCCCATTAATTTCCACTGAGGCCCTTATTGGCATATGGCAGGCTGCAGAGCTGAAATGCCCCCGCTGCATTCAAGCCTTCGCCATACACATTTGCAATGGAGATTTATGGGAAGAAATCTTCCCGTTTAATCAAAATGCTACTTTTTGGTTGGAAAAATAATAAGTTCACTGCATGGCTTTCAGACGTCTTTGCTAAAAGGTCCTGACCCTTCACTGGAACCAGTGGCAAACTGCCTAGGCCCTGACCTGTTCACACCGGTACATAGCTGTAAGCATGTAAATAGTTCCTTTGACTTTGGAGGGATGACTCTCATGCTTGAAATTATAAGTAGGCTCGAGTGCTCTGATGGAGCAGAGCTTTCTTCCTCTGGGCTCATCCTCCTTGTTGTACTTGCCTGTCCGTAATTGCCATTTCCATGCTGGGACATGTCAGCTTTCCTTTCTCACAATACCTTGAAATGCATATTTGACACAGCCAGGTGTTTCAGGGCTTGAGAAGACCTTACAAGGTGATGTTTCCCCTGCCCTAACACTCGGTTGCGATCTAGCAAAATTTACTGGATTCCTGGCATTTGAGCTGCTGGGACTGAGCTGTAAACAGTGTGTTAAATAATAATAACTTATAAATACTAAGCGTCTAATAAAACTAAACCTCTAATAATGCACCTCCCCCATTAAAAATGCACTTTGACGGGTTTTTTTTAATTTTTAAAGAGGAAAATGCTTTTGTAATTAGCATCTTAACATTAGCCTGGCCCTGTTCTGAAGGCTTCTATTTAAATGCAAATTAAATCCTCCCACCGGAAAGCTAATAGGAGATTAAAATAGCTGGTAGGGGATGGGAATTTGCTTCCATGTGGAGTCATTTTACTCAACTTGTTGTTGATTTCCTCATTTTTTATGGCCCGGTTGCTTTAAAAATAGGGTTTCTATCTAGGAGTTCATGTTACCTATGTAACAATAACCCTTGCTTGTTCAATATGACCCTGAAACTTGTGGTCAGAGCCTTTTGCTCTCCCAAAGCCTTTTGCAAATCTGGACTGCTTAAAACTAGCTTGGACCTAGACTGAGCTTTTTGCTTTCCCTCATAATAATGAGGCTACTGCTGATAGTAGCTAAAGGGCTACTGCCTTTGATCTTTAGGCAGCTAAGAGTTGTCCTGTTAGGTCTGAAGACTGTAGGTTCAAACTCACCAATGCCCAAATGTGGTTGTTTATATGTCCATGAGCGTGTGCACACTGTTGCTGAATTAATCCATTATCCCTAGGAACTTACATGCGTAGTGAGTGGGATCCCATGCCATGGAGAGCTGTCTTATACCATCATCAACACACGATTTGCCAGGAACCTGAGAATATTGCAGTTCAACAGTAATGACCATGAGTGAGACTCTCTCATAGCGAAGGGAGCTCTGTATGCCTATGAACAGCTGCTGGACCACCATATCAACATGCCTCTAGGACTGCCTCTGTCCACAGAGACTCTTTAAAGGTCTCTCTGCCTCTACACAGAAATGACCTCTGATAGTTTTTTGCAGATCCCAGACAATTCTGCAGTAGCTTTAGGGAAAGCACTGACATGTAGGTCAGGAGCTCAGATGCCCAGAAAGGCGGCGCTGGGCAGGGAAGCAGCGGTTCACGAGCAAAAATAAATCTCAGAATTGGTGATGTAACGGTGTCCATGATAAAGCCACATTTGCAACCTCCGATTGAAGGTACTTGTGTATTAGACACCCTACACGTGAGTCACAGAGCTTGCAAGCAGGAGTGCACAGTGTCCGAAGGCGTTGTGACCTGCCGTGGTCTTTTGCAACAGGAGAATTGTTCTGTTATATTTCTGCAGTCAAGAAATGCTCTCAAGCGGGTTTTGAAATGGGGTGCTGCTCAATGCAAAAAAGGGATGGGGAGAGGCCTGGAGTCTGAAAGGGTGGAGAACTACTGGCCTAGCAGAAGGGACCCCGTGGGCAGCCTCCTGAGATGTTCCTGAGTCCCCAAGCTAATTACAGCCCTGCTGTGAGCAGACACAACGCTGGAGTCCAGGGACCTGCGCTCCCTTCCTCAGGGCTGTGCGTGACGGGGAGACTGCTCCTGCTCTTCGGTGCTGCCTCTCCCATCGTCCTTCTTCTGCCTCCCTTTCCCAACAGTTTTGCTTTCATCGCAGTTGGAGGGGAGGGAGAAGACCCTGTTGTAAAACATCCATAAAAGGCTTGGCATGGGTCTCATAATCCAACACACACACACACCTCACTCCAGGCACAGAAGAAAATACAGGTCACCACAGCAGCTGGAGAGTCCTCTGCCTGTAATTGTTTTTCCTCTCCTGTAGGAAAGTAAAGATTAGGGCCATTGGATTTATGTAGCCCGTTTGAAATTCCTTCCTCCCTCCCTCCCTATCCCAGGCTTCTTCTGGCTCCGTTCGCTTTCCTCGTAACAAGGGCTGTAACCTCCAGAGACGGAGAGAGACCGGCAGAGAGAGAGAATGAGAATGGATGTGCGAGAGAAGTGAGACGGAGAGCTGCCTTTGCAGGAGCTGCATTTCTCTGCCTTATGTTAGAGCTGAAAAGCATTTCTAATAGCACCAGGCATCCCGGGGACCCACTGCTGCCTCTTGGAGACGGTAAGTACAAGACACTCCTGAAGTACCCCTTAGCACCAAGAGAGCCGCTCGCTGGAGGTCATTGGGGTCTTAGCGTGTGCACGCGTCTGCGTGCGCTGCAAAGGGAGCAGCCTTCTCTGCACGCCAGCTGGCTTTTTAAGATGCCACCTGAGCTGAATCTTTCAGAGCGACCATGTTATCAAAAAGAAATATGTGGGTCAGGCTTCGGCGGCAATGTTTCTGCTTTTTTAATAGCTGCCAAGCCAAGGTTGCAGCGTGCATATATTCTCAGAAGACGCTACTGTTTTGTGTCCCCTGAGGTTGGGTTTGAGGGATGGTCACTCACCTCGCAGTAGGCCAGAGGTGGATGCTGTCAGTTTGTTCCTCTGCAGGTGGGGCCAGAAGCAGCCGGTTCCTTAGCTGGGGTACCTGGGGGAAGCTGATGCAACTGTGTTTGGTTTGTGCCAGCTGAAGACCTGGCCTGAGCAATTGGGTTGCATTTAAAACAGTTGCCTCAACATTGCAAGGCTCAGATCTTGGCAAGCGCCATCGGTGGCACTGCCGGGTATTCGTGTGATTCTCGCTTGCGTGACCCAGGGGAATTAATAGCACGCTGCTGACTCAGCGGTGGTGCGAAGGGGGTGGGACAAGGGACCCGGCTGGGACTCAGGGACGTCAGGCCAGGTTTGGCATTCACTGTCTGAGATGGGTTACTTGTCCTCTCACTGACATTATATAGTCCTAAGCCTCTCACGAGACAAACTTCAGCATCCATCAGATGCTCCATCAAGCTCTGCCTGGACCGTACAGGGAAAAAGGATAGTTTGCAACCTTTCTTCCTATCCCATGCCATGCTAGCCGCCCCTGACACGGCTCCTCCGGATTGACCGTGGCCCTGCTGTTAACTGTGGAGTGCTTCCTTCCGCTGGCCTCTCTGTCCCCCTCCTGTGTAGCAACATCAGGAAATTACATTTGGCACGATGAGGCTGCAGATAATCCCAAGGGACCGGTAATGGGGATAAAACCAGGCAGGAGGTTAAATCATTCATAGCCTCCTGCCCCTGCATTAAAACAGCGCGCGTGCGCATGTGAGAAATGTGTGTGGGTATCTTCTCTAAGCTGGGAATGGGCAACATGGACGACCCCTTGCAGGGAAGGTCTTTTCTCCCCTCCTTCCCTTTCCAGCAGAAGCATCTTTCCTCTCCTCGACAATTTTTCCAGCCATGTCACTCTCCCAGAAATAAGGGTTGCCGGGGCTTTGTCGTTGCGGGGATTTTTTTTTTTTTTTTGGTAACTGTTGCCATGGAAGGGAAACTGGATTCAACTTGATGGGAGGTCAAAAAATGTCAGGCTTAAACAGAACATACATTTAATTTAAAAAC